TTTTATTGGGACTATTATAAAGAAGAGGACAAAACAACTCCTATCCAGGTGCGTTGTCTGTTGGGAAAAGATCTGGGACTGCAAGAATGGCAATCGGTACTTTTATTGAGCCATTCTCGGATACCACTCAAATGAGAGCTATTTTGTCATCTCGCTTCGTTGCCAATGTGTGTCCAACGTGCGTGCTGCTTGGGATAATTCATGCGTACGTGAAGGAACTGTTGTCCAAGAAATGTCAATCTGCTCTCTGCATGAGTACAGCACGATCCAGAGGTCCAATTTAGTTTCTTTATCAATTAATTATTCAGATATAAGATTCCGAAAAATGAAGAGCAGCTTTTGGATTTATTACGTTCACATAATTTTCACCTTAGCGATAAAGATAATATGTTCAATGAATATATCAATAGTTTGCATGTGAAAGTCTCTTGGCATGTAACCGTTGCACCTCCGTCCTCGTGAACGTTCCTTGAGCTCATCACCTTGAGCTTTCTGAGAAAAAGAGTCCAGTCTGCGCATGTACCTACGTGGAATGCTACGCGCTCACGCAATGACGCACGAAGGCAACAGCGAAGAGTCAGGCCAAGGTCTTCAGGTTCACTCAAGCCTTAATCATATCTCGTATTCATTTCACATGACTCGATTCGGATTCCAACCCCGACCCGAGTCCCATGTTTTTCCTCAAGACTCAAGCTGACCGGAACCTTAAATAATTTCATGCTCGTGCTAAAGAGATGGACCTGGAAGCTTCCATAGTAAAAAGGAGACCAGAAGTCTATTACATAATAGTCTCTTACGTTTTTATAGCCTTTGGGAAATACGAGCGCAATGCAGAGAATGACGGTGATATCTTAATCCTTATTGATTTAGTATTCGCAAAAATATTGTCGAAGACAAATACGCTCCATGTCGTGCGAATGATTTTCAGAGAAAGTGCTGTCTATTCTGAGGCTTTGAAGTTCTTTCGAATTCCGTACTTCGTATTAAGTCCCAAGTTGCCATTGCTGAACTATATTTTTCCAGGAGGAAGAGAAGAAGAAGGAAGAAGAGAATTCAAGAAGGAGTCAGGGAGCCTCCGTCGGGAATACCGGAAGATTTAACCGTCTCCTGAAAAGATTGCCGATTCGGATCGGGAAAAAGAAGCAGCAAAAGAAAGAGGAATTAGCTCAAGCCGACCAAGATCAGGTCAGTGCAGGTCTCGATCGGGTATGCGAGAGGGGATTTCTCCGTCGGTAGAAATGTTTTATAGCTATCTTTCGATATTGTTCCTATCAGCAATATCTTTGTAAGTCGCGATATCGTTTTCAATCCCATGCTACCCTTCCTGAGTGATGCGATCACAAGCAATGCTTACTACTTTGGGAAATTCTTATTGATTTAGAAAATAGCCTGTGAAAGCTTTCATCGCTCTATGCTCGTCCCCCGGAACGCTAGAGCTACAGGGAGAGGATTGACGAAGGAAAAACTTAAATGGGGATCCGAACCGTCGCGGCGTAGCGTAGGCTCGTCAATCGAGATACCTCGCTTCCTTCTTCCAACGACCGTAGTGCACCACCGTGGGGGAGTTCGAAGTCACTCCGAACATACTAGCTCTTCCCTTTCATGGGCAGGGACCATTGTCTCGGTGAAATGGCACTGCGATTTCCCCTAAGAGGTCCATTCTCCCTAGCCTCTTTTCAGAAAATCAATAGGAAACATTCACTGTCATGACCTAGTAAGAAGCAAAAATCATCTACGTTCTTTCTCTGCGTGTGTCCCGAATAGCACGGCAGATTCCGAACTACACTTGGCATTTTTCCAGCTGAAATCCAAAGATTCAAAAAACGACGATTTGACAATACATGGACCGGAACCGCAGAAGTACGAGGTGCACAAGCGAAAACCGCATGGCGATTGGCGGGATTGCAGGATGTAATTGAAATTATAGCGGAGATCTAGTGACTTATAGGGAACCTATAGGTCACTATATATAGGAATCCTATAGGTTTCCCTATAGGGAAGCATGCATTCCTAAAGGGAGTCCATAAGATTCCTACAGGAATCATATAGTATCAAATAGATTTCTCATTGGACCTATCATAGATGTAGGAACATCCTCGAAAGTGGGTGGGGGGAAACGAGATAGGTCAGTTCCGAAATTCGGAATATTACCCCTATTTAATTCAAACGCGATCAGGATATCAAACTCAGGTAAAACTAGAATGCAAATATTCTCCTTTCCTCGATTTTATTTCCAAATTTTTAATCAATTTTAGATTAAGACTCCTCAGGTTTTACATAACTACACGTACGTAGTAACGCTGTTTACAGTCCGCGATAGTACAGCAGCAGCAAACGTAGGTTAAGAACTCGGCGGAGTTAAGACTTTTTCTGGAGATAGCTGATGTAGGGTTTTGTGGAATTCAAGGTGATTTCGAAACTCCCTAGGGAGAGACAGAATTTTGCAAAACCCGCGATACGTGTAATACGTGCACCCGGAACCTGCGGGCGAGAGTGGTAAGGCAAGAGGGCGGCAATATGTTTTTTGGAACTCCCGCTGGCGTAATTGACTCGCCCTTCCTGCCAGAACAGTTGGTAAAGGCAAATGACGAGCAAGTTATTGAGGTGCCTAATGGCGTGACGGTGTCCTTGGCTTTGAGGACAGAAACACGCTACGCCAACGGTGGTGCAGGATTCATCTGCGAGAGAAATAAGTCTTGCCGCACCAACAGCTGCAGATATAAAAAAGATTGGCATAACATACTCAATTAAGCGTCATGAAAGAAAAAAACTCCTTTCTGTTAGGACGCATCTTTTTCGTAGGGTTTTTCGTAGGGAATGCGAGCTTATTTCTGGCCTGGACTCCATCATTCTATCTGGAATATGGGGATGACAAATAGGGAAGTGTCGAAGTTTATTGATTGCTACAATGAGGCAAGGTGAGATATACGGGGAGATACAAAGCACTCCCGTGAGATATGATTCCTTGAATAGAGGAAAGGGCACATTGGTGTACTGTGAGTAATGCGAGAACCCCTAATCTCCATCTAGTGGTCAAAAGGAGAACTTCAAACCGAGCCCTATAGGTCCTAAAAGGAACCCTATGAGGCCTAATAGGGAACCCTATAGGTTCTATAGGGAAACCATATAGGTCCCAAACGGAACCCTATGAGGCCAAAGGGAACCTTATAGATCCTATAGGGAACCTATAGGATTCCTATGTATTCCTTTAGGAATATATAAGAATCCTACACTCTTAGAAAATTCCGAGCGTTTGGGGAGTAAAAAGTGAGCACACCATGAGCTTTTCGAATTTACTCTCTTATTACTCACCAAATGCTCCCTCATCGCTCGCATTGAAGTGAACTTATCTCACGGGAGTGCTTTGTATCTCCCCGTATATCTCACCTTGCCTCATTATAGGAATCAATAAACACGGACATTTCATCATTTGTTAACCACATATTCAAGACATATTCATAGAGTTCATGCCATAAACATTTAATTGAGGTATGAGGGAAGGAAGTTCACCGGCACTCTCTACGCATTCTAGATTTTCATGCGAATAAAATCACCTGCATTCCAAGGGGGTTCTCAATAGAATGAGGTGATAAGGACTGATATTCCGGACCACTCCACGGAACCGATAAGAGTGGTCCACCCTCTGACGAGTGATGTAATCAGTACAGTCAGAGGTAGGTCAACGCATGTACGAGAGAGATAGCGACACACAGTATATAAGGAATTTTTCGCATTTGCACGACATCCCTATCACTCTCTGATGGAAGCGGTTTTACTCACGGAGGAGGAGAGCAATTTTACTCCTTCATGATGGAGTAAATTTGTTCCTTTCCCAGAGTGAAAAGGGGGTGAAACTGCAGTTAGCTATTTTGCTCTCTTTTTTGAGAAAAATCTCTCCCCTTTTTCTAAGAGTGTATAATACATTTTCGTTAGGGTCTCTTTCTTCCAAGGAGTAAACAAAAAAAAGGAGCCGTAGGCAGTTAATCCGGGTGATTTGGAATCCCCCTAGGGTGAGGTGACATAATGCAGGATTTCGAAATCCCACTGAATTCCACAAAACCTTACGACACATGCACAACATACGGAGGACAAAACCGCGTCTTCTGCGTGCAAGTATGAAATCTATGGCCATACATCAAGTACTTTGCATTGAATGCCCTGTCCCCTTTTCTAGGGAAATTATATTTTTGCGGTTGAAAAGGGCCACTTTCATTAACATGAACAGGTTCCTGTGCAATATTGTCTGTGAAGACAAACGATAATACAACACCGTTGAAGTCTTCCATTCCCGAATTTTCTTCATATTTTGCTGTCTTTCGTTTCGTAATGAAATCAAAAGGCATTCCAGTTTCAGCACTTCTCTTTCTTGACATTGCGTTGAACCTCTACTCACTGTTCTACCATTAAAATGCTTCAAGCCAGATTCATTACTGAAGGGACAGACTCTGGAACTTTCTTTTCAAGGAAATACTTTAGAGAACGGTGGCGAGGTGTAATTGGATGGGAGATCTTGAACCTGAGAAAAAAAAAAGAACTCCCACTGGGTGCTTATCAAATGTGCCCTACCACGCCATTCTCCCTCAGGCATTAACCTCGCTTTAAGTTAAATTTACTTGTGTTAAATTTATCTGTGGGAGCAGTGGGGATACAGAAATTATTCATAGAAAGACACTTCTGTAATTCTCCCCCCTCCTCCCCATACCTGTATCCGTGACTGTCCTGGGGGGAAGAGGAAGGACCCAGGTAAGAAACGAATATTCAATCAACATTGTACGAACGTTAAATTTGAACCTTCCCAGCGTCGTGGGGGCATTGCATCTAACATTAATCCAATACTTAAATGTCGTTCATCGCAATACTCAGATGAACGTTGAATTTCAACACTTGCTAAACGTTGGGTCAACTTTGTAATGTCACTTATTGGAATGCTCACTCCCCAGCCCTGTAGCACCAGATATTGGCTAAATTAAGTTATTAATTAAGTTCCTGTGGGAAATGGAATGTGGGTTAGGAATCAAAATGATAGGAAGTATATCTCCTTTAATTGGAGTTATTTAATGAATTTTCTGAACGGCATATTAGATCCTATAGTTAAATGATTATTTTGATGTCCCAGGAATGCTCGCTTCTCATCAATGCGGCTCTCAATGGAGAAGACACCGTTGTCCGGCGCCTTCTTAACCTCCAGCCCGACTTGGAAGAAGTTGGCACGGTGAAGATTGAGGAAGACACCATAGAAGGCGCCAGTGCCTTATGGTCTGCAGCTGCAGCGGGTCACTTGAAGGTGGTGAAGATGCTGGTGCGAGCCGGTGCAGACGTGAATCATTCGACGAAGACGAAGTCCACGCCTTTAAGAGCAGCCTGTTTCATTGGAAGACTGGACATCGTCAAATACTTGGTAGAGCACAAGGCCAACATTCATCTTCCCAACAGTCACAATAATACCTGTCTCATGGTTAGTGCATTTTGTGGGCACTTAGACGTAGTACGGTATCTCCTGAAACGGGGCGCTGATCCAAACCACAAGAGCAATCAGGAAAACACAGCCCTCCATGAGGCGGCAGAACCTGGACATGTGAAGATAGTCTCAGAACTCATGGCCTACGGAGGGAAGATGACAAAAAACAAGCATGAGATGACACCCTTGCTCACAGCGGCTGAAAATATCCGAGACGATGTCGTTCACTTAATAATACAGCTACCCGAAATCAGCAAAGAAGAACGCATTGAGGCCCTCGAGCTCCTTGGTGCCTCGTTTGCCAACAGCAACAGAGGCGAATATGAACCCTCATTACCTCTTGCCTACCGCTATCTCAAACAGGCAATGGAAGAACGCATGGGTGGTTCTAGCAAGCATGCTAATCTCACTTTGCATTCTATTCCTATTGAAAAGCCTCACATTGAGCCGATTGCAGCATATGACTTCCACCGGGAATCGAGAACCTTAGAAGATTTGGAGAAAATCCAGTTCGACACAGATGCTCTGAACATGGAGAGCCTGGTGATTCGGGAGCGGATTCTCGGTTCAAAAAACCCAGACCTCATATTTCCCATTGTATACCGAGGTGCGGTGTGCGCAGACAAGAAGCAATTTCAACGATGTATTGCATTGTGGACCCACGCCATGAATCTAAAACAGAACAGCCGCAGGTCTGTAAAGGAGGACCTCTTCCACCTGGCGGGATTGTTCACTGAAATGCTTCATGAGGAGGTGGAGTTGAGTCCTAATCACGTTATTAGCGTCCTCTCGTCGGGTGCAGAAGAACTCGAGCGTAATCACCAGCAACTGAGCTCACTGGCTTCAGATGCCGAGGATATTGACGAGGCCATGGAGGAGATGGAGAGCAACATGCACTCCGTGTTGTACCTGTTAGTGATGGCAGGTCAATTGAAGCTACCAGAAGGGGATGACAATATCCGGCAAATCATTTCTCACCTCAATCGCATCCCATTGAAGACAAGACACGGGCGAAGTCTACTTCATTTGGCTTGCTGGGCCTCGACTCCAGTCCCTGATGATTACACTTTCTTTAGCGATGTCTGCCGATTTCCATGCGATAGGACTGCTCGACTGCTGATTGAGTGCGGCGCTGACGTGAATGTTGTGGATGCAGATGGCAAAACACCATTCGAAACACGTCAGCAGATGTAACATTCCTTTGCTGATTAATCTGAATTTCAATACATTTTTCAAGTTTTCAAGTTTGGATTCTGCTTTGGTACCTGCACCAAATAGTGCAGAGACGATTAAAATATCGGATATTTCTCCTAGAGGAACCCTCCTCTCATGATAATTGGTGAAGGGCGAAAGGATGAAATGCGATAGTGTATGAATGAAATTGGGAAAATATATAAATATAGATCTACTGAAGTGTAGATATCCTGAAATGTAAGAAAAATGCTGATTTGTAGATAATATATCCTGCATAATAAAAGCTGAAAATAAAGTATTCAGAACGTGAAATGATTAATCCTTGCTGACGTCAACGTCACGAGGAATATATCACTCAAGGACCCCAACATCAACAACCGTTCTTTCATGATCATCGTTCATAAGTTGGTTTCTGGAGCAACCCGATGCTCCTGACAATGTCGGAGCAGTTTCTTCGTGGGTAATCTTATCGACGTTCTATCGATCAGGTACATATACAGGGTGATTGTAAAGAAAGTTTCGCCATTCTGTAGTTTCACTCTCAGCACACTTGACAGTTTCGTGTTGGTTAATTGAGCTGTACTACAAATGATAGCCCCAATTATTAGCCATGGAAATAAGCAAATGATGAGGTGAAAATCCCTACATTGGCGCCCCTGGTGGCAACGTGTGACAACTGTAGAACTTAAATCATCTTTGTTTCCTTAACACGGCAGTGCAATTTCACCTTCCTATGCCATTCCGTTTGCGAGATATGGTGCGCTGAAGTGCGAAGGTTTATTTGTTTTCATCCTACATTACATCAGCTCAAAATAAGTCCTACAAATATTCCTCGCAGAGATTGTAGTGAAGTCATGGAATTATTCAGCAAAAATCCCAAAAACAGCCTGATGCCTTCTCCCTGGGAGGTTCTTGCGATTTTTCCTTGGAGTGTCCCATAGACCACGGCATAACTCAGACGAACTTATGTTCTTAAAATGAATTAAAGAATATTCCTGATTGTGGAGATTTTCAGCACATGACCTCAATGGAAGATTCCCTTCATGATATTCTCCACCCCTTTCCTTAGAGAAGGGGGAAAAACCTATCCACTGTGTATTGTCAACGGAACATATCGACCTTTGTGAGAACTGGTCCCGTACTTACCTTATGTGGTGGGACAAATCAGCACATACGGAGCCTTGCCACAAGTTTTAGTTCATGGGGATGGGTCATGAATGCCAACGTTTGTCGATTTTATTCCATAAATGGTTTTGTAAATCCGAATTCGTGAGAGCACAATGTCATTTTCCGTATTAGCAGCAGCAAACTTATTCAGAGAATAAAAATATTCCATTAATCGCATGATTAATTCAAAGACCACCACCTTTTTCTTCTAGTTTTATAGTACGATACTGCATCACCAGACGACCTTTGAAGGAGGGCCTAACACCCTTATTTACACCCATCCTTTCGACTAATAGTATTGTTGAAGAAATATACTGCACATTACCAGGCACACGTTAGCAGCGCAAGCAGCTGATAAGTGCAACCAACAGACCAAGAAACAAAATGAATCAACTAAAAGGTTCACACAAATCTCAAGAAAGCCTAAGCCCAAGTCCCATAGACCATTGTATTTTCATCCGCCAGGAAAAATACACTTCTGTAAAATGAGTCAGATGTAAGATATCGAAGTCTGATAGCCGGTCCTAGGAATGCAGAAGAAACATTTGAAGGCATTTGAAATGAATTGACTGAGGCGAAGAAACGGGCAAGAATTTCTCAGAGCTGAAGACAAATCCTAAAACGAGAAGTAAAGAACTCCAGGAGTTCACGAGGGAACAGTCGGCATGTTAACAAAGCGCGTCAACCACGAGATTCTAAACCACAGGTACAGCACAGTACTACAGTGACTTTCTGCGAGAGAAGTTGCGAGTGTGACCATCTTTTGCCTGTAATGGAGATGTACTGGGAAAAAAACCACGAGATGACTCTTCGACGAATTCGAGGTATCTACACCAGGATAAGGAGCACCAATGTATTGATATTTCAAGAGTTTAAGGAGTGTTTCAGAAAGCTGGACTCATAGCTCTTGTGCACACAAGATAAGGGATGGTGAAAGGAAGAACCAGCCAACCCCTCGTTACTATCTTCTTGTTGCGGAAGTGGAGTTAATATCGCCAACATCCCAGCCTTGCTTCCCTTGTTGCATTCAGGTATATTTTTCTTTCTCTATACATCTCTGATCTTGACCAAAAAAGGTATATTTTTATGATATGCGTAAAAAAGAAACACCTCACTGTTCTTGATAACGAGAGGTTGAAGGACGTTGATAAGGCGATGGAGGATTTTCCAAAGGTCTTGCAGGGCAATTGAAACATTAAAGCCGTTTAAAAAATTGTCCGGAGGGTTTTGAATAGGTGCTGAGGTTGTTTGTAAGAGTTGGGAAGTGTGCTGCCAGGGGATTGATGGGGTGGAATGGTACTGAAAGAGTGATAAAGATGGAGTAGGGGAGGGGGATATTGCAAGCGATAGTGACCCCATAATAAAAACGCAAAAGGGTTCATTTGAACCCTTGGTGGCAAGGCAAGGGATAAGTTTGGCATGGAAACCATGACACCACTTTCAGTTATTCATTTTCTATATTTTAGAGCAAACGAAGAGGTGAATTCATTGTGAATTTTCCGCGGAGCTTACTTCGACCATGAAGCGAGGCGTGCAAGGCCCAGGGGAAGGGACGGGATATTTCAAAGGCTTCTCCTCAGGTCACGTGACCACTGCTCCGCCTCCATTCCCATTGTCTGCTTATGTCGCCCTAGTCCGTACGTCTTGCTCTGCTCAGCACAGCGCATTCGTGGTGGATTGTACCTGATTTCTCATAGGCCTACTTGTTCAAGTACTTGGGCCAAAATTGCAACCGAATGGCAAACGGCCGTCGAGAACGACTATTTGTATTCTTCCTCAGCTGGTCTGAGAACTAAGTTGAAACTAAAATCCACGTTCTTTGACGCTCTGCTAATAAGTCGGGACCTCAGATTGTGCAGTATCTTGATCTATAGGACCGAGACTTAAAGGTGGTTTGTTATGCAGAAGCCAAGACGAAAAGCTACTTCTAGCTAGCTTCTTGTTTGACCTTAATATTCGACCGATGTCTTAGATCCTACAGTACAATGATGCCTGGAGCATTAGAGATCAAGTTGAAGGATTATTGTTGCTCTTCCGAATCGCATTAACTAATCATTTGAAGGAATCCAACAAGGGGCCAACAACCTGGCCCATTAGGCTTGCACAACAATATTAGCAAGGGAAAGAAAGGAAAAACATGTTGCCCATGTTGCAGGCAAGTGAATTGTGCGAGACTGGCCCCATAATGTCCAGCTAGTCTTCAACCCATATGTCCTCATTTGCATGGGTATCCTAGCAGTGAGATCCATTAGGGTATTTAGTGACTTTCCAATATGGTAATACAAATTCGTTTAAGACGTGGGTTAAACATATTTGAGGAGGTACGTTCAAGAGAAATTTCAGATAAAAACGTGGCAATCATCCATGCCTCGGTTCCAGGCTGGACAGGGTGAGAGCTACGAACTTCTTCGAACATCTACAAAGTTTGGACGACTCCCCGTAGATTGAACGTTTAGCCTACCCTTAGCAGTCAAGCCAGCTATCTGAAGAAGAGCACCGATAAGTCTACAAGAATTGACCACGCTGTGCTGGCGCAGTGCAACAATTGCGGGCTAAGGCGAGAACAAGCAGACGATGAATATGGGGGCGGAGCTGTGATCACGTGACAAGAGCAGAAGTCTTTGAAATTCTCCCTTCCCCAGGGGGAGAAGCAGAATGCCAAGGAAATCCCTCCTGCAACTGAACAGCAGCCACAAAATACGAAACTTTTCGTGGGCGTTGGAACAACACCGCAATGAAACCCTTTGATTCCACCTGAACTTTTCCAGCAGCAAGCATTACTGCTGGAACACCTGCAACGGCAAGTAGAAGATTTTGAGGCCCGCATCGCCAGCCAGCCACCATCGCAAAACTCAACGGAATTCCTTCAGGAAATGCCCTTACATCCGAATGAATTTTTATTCCAGGAAGCGGACGTTCCCGGAAACGCCAATCCTGAATTCCAACTAAATCTGACAAATTTTAAGACTGAATATCGAACCGATTTCGCAGCATCGATGACATCGCCAGTCGGCATGCAGGTGCAGTCTTTATTTATTTATTCTTCTTTATTACTTTGGAAGTGTTACTAATGTATCTCTTAGATTTTTCTCCATGAAAGAGCCTTGGGTTTTTCTTCCTCGTTCTCGCTCAAGCTGCATTCATAGAACGACACAGAGATATTTCTCCAGGATTTAAACCCGGAGTAGATCATGCAGCCGTTGGAGATGATTGTGAGTCGATTTGTTCCTTTTTTCCCTCTCTCGACTCGTCCTTGCTTTTCCATTGGGATTATTCTTTTGCAGGGACTGACTGCTGAGGACGAAGCAACTTCTATCCGGGAAGAGGTCTGTCGCGCTTTTCACTTGCCGACACTCATTTAGCATTTCATATCATCACGAAGATGATGTTAGATGCATATTAGTTGCATATTAAGCGTAATCAACGTCATGATTGACGAGTACGTAAGAGGTGGAACTTTCCCCGTAATTCGCGAAATCGGATATCGTGCTATTTCAACCCGCAGTATTTCTCAGAAATTGAACGCAAGTGCATCCACGTAACGGATCGGGAGGCCGCCAATAGATTGCGACGCAATCCTACTGGATGCGAAATTCTCTTCCGAGCGTTCTCGTCGCCCCGTGGCTTCAAGTCACCCTGCTTTGCAGTGATCGATGCTTTCAGGGGGAACATCGTCGGGCTGAGACGAGTCGACACGTGCCCTCGTGTATCACTTGTTCCGAGTGATTTAGGGTTGTTTGACGGCAAATCACGCGTAAAACTTGTAAACCCAACTATCTCCGATTTTGGTGAAATCTCGTAAACTCGGGTAAGCATTCTCCCAAATCCGGAAA